GCTCATCCGGGGAAACTTTTTGTAGGTGCCCGTATGTCTTGACATTGGCTTCCCAATTGTCAAAGTTCTCCTCCTTCTTCCCACTATAGGAGTCAGGGAACTTGACTTTGACCGGCTCCCTACGGGGACGTACCTCCTCCTCCTTGGGGGCAGTCAATCTGGCGCCTTCTATGGCGCCCGTACAGTAACGTTCCGTGCCCTCTAGGCAGGCCCTAATGGCTGTTGTTCCACCTCTTCCTCCTCTTCTACTGCCTTGAGCTTCTCTTCTTCTTCTCTCTTTAGCCTCTCTTTTTCTCTGGCCATCTCCTCGTCAATCTTTTTCAACTTCGCCGCCTGTTCCTCCATCAGGGCCTTCTTCTTGGCCTCCTTCTTCTCTCTTCTCTCTTTCGGGAGGGCGACGACTTTCGCCTCCTCTTCTGCTGTGTAAGGCTTAGTAGTCGTACCACCCCTCGTGTCTACTCTGCATGTAAAGGTGTTCCAGAATCCCAAAGGGAAGAGGAGACGTTAGAGGGTCCCCCACAGGGAGAACCCCACAAGCAAGTCGTATATAGGGTAATCGTCCATGGTGTTAGGTGCACGACAGGGACTGTCCCACTCCTCACCACTTAGACCTACCCTCTAACTGACACGACCTATTGACTCAATTGAAGGACCACAGGATCCGTATGGAACCTTGTCAACAATGGTCTCTAGCCTGGACTCTAATTACTACAGCCGTCACTACAAAACCTGTTGCTGACCAAGAGGCATTCAAGGAGATCCCCCGTAACTCCTCAGGAACTCTTTAACGTCGCATACAGGACGACGCGGTCAGCAGGTTTTCTCAAGACTTAGACGGCCCGTTGTGCAGCCCACAGCTCGGATTTTGGGCCTACCGTGCCACACCGAGCAGCCCGCCGGTCAGTACCGGTCCTTGGGAGGGTTCGTGTCCTCCGGGACAGTTGAGTCGTCAGACACAGTCTTTAGCTCTACTCAGCCCGTGTGGGTTTGCTCAACGAGGCCCTATCCTTCATACACGGAATCCTATCACCTGGAGAGAAGAGACTCAATGTAGAAAGAAGAGACAGAATAACTCAGCAAGTACCATAGGGTGAGTGCACTCCCATAGGGCGAAGGGATAGGCTAAGGGCGGCGAGATTATACCAACTCCAGCTTGGTCAAACTCATGGTCAACGGCTCCGGTCAACACCTTGGTCAACACCTGGTCAACGCTTGGTCAACGTCTGGTCAACACGGTCAAACCCCAGTCAACGGTCCGGTCAACGCTCGGTCAACCTCCAAATCAGCTATGGCTGCCGGCACCTTCTTCCTCACCACCTTTCACTTCTCTTTCCCTCTCCTTCACCTTTCTTCTTCCTCCTTTTCTTCCTTTTTTTTTCTTTTTTTTTTGTTCACCCTCGGCTATGTCTGTCTCCTACTTCATTGTCCCTCCTTCCTCCTTTCTCAGCTATGTCTTCCTCTTCCTCTCCGGTCTCTCCTCCCTTCTCAACTTCACCCTCGTCTCTCCTCCGTGTCCCGAGCTCCGCGGCTATGGCCGCTACTTTGTCTTGGACCGCACAACCAATCTCGTATCACTCAACTCTCTCTCTCCACGGTGATGTCTTCAGCGCAGATGCGTAGCAACCCAATCTTGTATCGCTCAGCTCTTTCTCTCTCTCTCTCTCTCTCTCTCTCTCTCTCTCTCTCTCTCTCTCTCTCTCTCTCTCTCTCTCTCTCTCTCTCTCCGTGTGTCTTCTTCGTCGTTATCTTCCTGGCAGGCACACGACACCTCCTCCTGCAGCGGAGCTATGACGGACTGCTTCTTCACGGTGGCGCTCTTCAACTGCGCCCTATGGCGCACCTCTCCCTCCTGCTACAACGGCGATGGCGCATGGAGTAGCGGGTACCAGCTCCGATACCAGTGCAATCAGACTACCCTTCTTTCACACTTCGCACGCATGTAAACAGACAACACAGCAAACTGGCGCCAAGCGCCCACTCAAAACTCAGAGATATGGTAACCAAGAACGCAGTTCAGATACAAGCTCGCTTCAAATGGCTATGGCGCATCAGCGCCTGTACAACACTGTTTCTTCACTGTGCCACACTCTGCTGTTCACATACACTCAACTAGGATCACCCTGGATACCCCGCACACCACACACTCTGTACACTCGCACACCCGCACACATCTACAGCTATGGCGGCTATGGCCGCCCCTACCACTATGCTATAGCTACACTACTCTCCTTCAGCCCACTTCGACTTCGGGCGTGTCTGCAGACCACCTCGCACAAGTCGCTGTTGGCAGCGC